CTGCAGTATTTTTAACTTTATTACATTAACACAGAATTATCAAACACAACAAAGCAACAACTATGATGACGGTACAATCAAGATCCAGTTATGACGTCACAAACATACGTCATTATCAGATGACTTAGAAAAAAAATAAAATAAATTGTCTATCAAGTTGGCTTGTTATGGCCGCTCAAGTCAAGGAAGGGTGCTCCAATGAGGCTCCGACCAAGACCTATTTAAATGAACCGGAAAGCGACCAGGCGTAGCAAATATTTAACCACTACAGTTTAACTTAGTAGCCAGCGTATGTCCCTGTTGCTGACAACATAAACAAACACATGAATCATCTGGTGGTCCAACTGGTCACTCGATTACAAATCCCTACCCCCAATGAAAAGTATCCGGAAGGGTGAGCTTTAACACTCTCCGACCAAGAGACTCTCCGTGGGAGCAGAGATCCGCAACCGAACAATCAGTCCTAAAATCGGATCCAGTAAGATGACTTTAACTGATGCCCACTTACAAACTAGGTCTTACCAGAACACAAAGGGCGAGACCTAGTGACCCGAACCTAGGCCGAGTCTACTATAACTTAACACGGGCATCAACATTAACACAGTAAACCAACATTCTACTTGGGACTAACCACAGTAACATGATATCTGAAAGATGTGAAAATTCAGAGGGCTGTCACAAACCAAAAAGCAGCCAAGTATTTTCAAAAATTTAGTTTCCCAAAACAATAACGATGAGGTTTTGACATGAAAATATACATTACTTGTGAATCAAAAAACTACGCCTGTTCGCCGCCAGCTCGAGCGACTTAGAATATTAAAATAACTTTAAATTCAAATAATAACCACACATAACTGAGTCTCTCAATGATACTTTAGAATATACAAAACGTTCAAAGTTCCAATATGTATAGCACTATTGACTTAAGACACATTATTTTACTAAGTAAACTTTACACCATTGACACACCATAGTCATAACACACTGTTCTACTGCACAAGATGATTCTGTATATGGTGTCCAGTTGTTCACAATCACCATTCCTGTAAGTTCATACTTCAACTTGAGCATCACATGGTGCGTGGTCATAACTGGTTAATCAAACTCATTGGGAGACTCGTAACATTTTCTTCATTATTCCTGCAAAATATACTAAAGAAAGCAAGTCTGGCACTGTTACACAAAAAACATGACACAAACAACAGAACTTTATCTGTACAATAAATCAGTAGAAACCAGATAATTATATTCACAGTTAACTGAAATACTATTTTAAATGCTATAACATCCAGACATGAAACATTAACGATATAAGACTTGCTACGGGGGTGTGGCGGAGGGTGGGCAATTTAAGTACTACTGACTGTTAGTCACGACGGTAATTTGACAATACTGAAGAAGTGTGCACGATATCTCGTATTTATATTCGGATCAACTCCGAGTGTGTTCCGCTTTAGTAAGCAATAATGCATGTAAAAACCTCCTCTAACGGTAAATGTAACGATTTCTCAGTGTAAATAAAGAAAATTATTTTGAAGAAAAATAACTTGTATTAGTTGAAAGCCCTTTTCAAACGGCATCTCAGTAACAAGTATCTGCAGTTTAATCCTATCACTCCCGCCTCTTTCCTAAATTGGAGGTGCCACTGCATCAAAATATTTAAATTTAATATACTGGTCTCTCATGCTTCAAACTGTTGTCTCACTCACATACCAGCCTAGATCAGATGTGAATTTGTGGGAAGCTAATTCACAACACCACTGTCAATTGTGGACGGGGTGATCTTTGTGCGAGTCTCATTATCATAATGGCTGTACTGACCACATTTTCTCTTCTTTGATTTTGTAAGTGTTTCAACCGCATCATTAGCAACCTAAATACCAAAAAAAAATTTGAAACATTTCACAAGTACAGTCGAGACTGCCTTAGCGACCCCCTGATTTAAACGACTCCCTGTCTTATCCGACCTTGTTTCAGTACTCCCAACGTATTTTCCTATATAAATGGTCTGAATTAAACGACTCCCTGTCATATGTGACAAGCGACCCTAATTGTCTGGTCCCAATGCAAATGTTTGGTCTGATTTAAACGTCTTTAACACGACTTTCACACCTTTTAATTGTCAGTTAATCAGATAAATAATACCTATTATAACACACAGAGGGCCAAAATAATTAAGTCCAATTATAATCCAGTAGCAAACAAAGTCTACACACCTCTATCTCAATTACACAGTGTACATGCAGGGAAGCATGATACAATCGACGTATGTGTAATGTACATGATGGCCTGAGCAAACTGGGTTAAGACTTGTGTTAGATTTTTTTTATGCCACCGCAGCATCTGCGATGCGGTGGCATATAGCGATTCATCTGTGTGTGTGTTTGTTTGTGTGTGTGCATGTGTGTGTGTGTGTGTGTGTTATATAGATTATATAGTGAACTTAAAAAATCTTCTTGTGAAAAAAAACTTGTCCAATTTCAACCAAACTTGGCAGGATTGATCCTTGGGTGAAGGGCTTCCAAAGTTGTTCAAAGAATTTCATTCCATGCAGAAATCTGGTTGCCATGGCAACCAAAAGGAATTATAAGAATAAATTAAAAAATCTTCTTGTAAAGACCCAAAAGGCCTAGAGCTTAGATATTTTGCATAAGGCATTGTCTGGTAGACCTCTACCAAGATTGTTCAAATTATAACCCTGGGGTCAAAATCGGCCCCGCCCCGGGGGTCATTGATTTTCACTATATGTACATATAGTAAAAACTTAAAATAACTTCTTGTAAAGACCCAAAAGGCCTAAAGCTAAGATATTTTGCATAAGGCATTGTCTGATAGACCATTACCAAGATTGTTCAAATTATAGCCCTGGGGTCAAAATCGGCCCCCCCCCCCGGGGGTCATTGATTTTCACTTTATATACATAAAGTAAAAACTTAAAATACCTTCTTGTAAAGACCCAAAAGGCCTAGAGCTTAGATATTTTGCATAAGGCATTGTCTGGTAGACCTCTATTCAGATTGTTCAAATTATAGCCCTGGGGTCAAAATCGGCCCTGCCCCGGGGGTCATTGGTTTTCCTTATATGTATATAGTAAAAACTTTTATAGTAAAAAAAATTCTTCTAGCAATTGACAAATGCTAGAGGTTAGATATTTTGCATGAAACATTGTGAAGTGAACTTCAACAAGATTGTTTCAATTATAGCCCTGGGGTCAAAATCGGCCCTGCCCCGCGGGGTCATTGTTTTTCCTTATATGTATTTAGAAAAAACTTTATAGTAAAAAAATTTCTTCTAGCAAATGCTTGAGGTTAGATATTTTGCATGAAACATTGTGAAGTGAACTTCTAGCAAGATTGTTCAAATTATAGCCCTGGGGTCAAAATTGCCCCTGCCCCGGGCAGTAATTTTTTCTCATTATGTTCACATAGTAAAAACAGAAAATAAAAGAAATCTTTTCTGAATGGGAGAAAGCTACAGCTTAGATATTTGACTTGAAATGTTGTTTGGTGGACCTGTATCAAGATTGTTTTGAATTAAACCCTTGGGGTCAAAATTTTGCCTTACCCAAGGGGACAGTGACCTACTTTCTTGTCCTTTGATGTACAGCAATGAAATTTTGACCATTAGCACAGTTTTAGTTGTAAAATTGAACTTTGATGTCAGGTGACCTAGATTTTGATGATGTGACCTACTTTCTTGTCCTTTTATGTACAGCTATAAAATTTGAACCATGTGTACAGATTAAGATGTTAAGTGAACTTTGTTTTCAGCTGACCTAGATTTTGACAAAGTGTCTTACTGTGTTGTCCTTTGATGTAGTCATGAAATTTAGGCTGTGTGAAATATGACCATCAAATTCACTAGACTCAAGTGAATTGATATATTCCTACTCTGATCTTTTATTGAGTTAACAACAGATTTAACCACTAGTCTGATAATAAGAATTAGATAGGTCAGGGATCTATGCATTATGACAATCTTCAAAATTGTATAGAAACAAAAAAAAAATCTGTTTCTACACTACTATTTAGTGTTGTATTAATGCGGTGGCATAGCATTTTTCTCAAATGCAATCTTGTTTAATTATAGAGTGCCCACGGAAGATTTTTTAGGCAGTGTTTTTTTAATTTGCCTTTCTATGGCTGCATAATTAATATGGAAAAAATATTGATACCAAACCAGAAAAAGCTTTGGATATGGATATGTTACACAATTTTTTCAAGGTTTTATTTCATAAATATGATGCTCAAATTAAGATTTGTCAATATTGAAATTTCAAATAAGCATGATTTATAAAGATATCACCCAATTTAACATTTCATGTAAATAAAAGCTATTAAAGGGAGGTAATTAGAACTTTATTTTCTATAAATTCTTAGTCAAATTTTCCAATAAGAAATCAATGCATGTAATTTATTGATTAAATATAATGTGCACAAATATTTGCAGTACACATTTCACATATTCTTTGATGTTGGAAAATTGTTTCATTTGCATAATTATATCCATATATATATTTTTTGCAAATGTTGTATGCACACAATCACAAAACATACAAGATCTATGGTATATAGACAGATAGATGATATTTAAATTCAATTTTCTCTGAGACTGTATTAAGAGACTCCATGTCATATGTGACCTTTTTCTGAAGATCCCTTGGAAAGTCACATATGACAGTCTCGACTGTATATCATACACACATAAAGTCCAAAAATATGAAATCCGAAATGGGAGTGTATTACCTGCAAAATACTATTCATAGAAGTAGATTTCTGTAATGTGTACAATTAAGCTTTTTATGTCTTAGTGACCTCCGTTTTTTGAGGGAGACTGTGTGTACGTCTTGCAGCTGCCACCACGCCAGTAATGAAAAACAACAGTGACGATTTAAATTAAGCTTGAATTGATGCCAAAATATTTATGACATGTTTTTATTTCATACAAGACATGACAAAGGAAACAATTCCAAACACCAAAAAAATCCTAAATTCCGTAAAGAACGTACTGTTCGGTATGGTAGACCATAAACACTGTCTATATGGTGGCGGTTTATTACAATGAACACTTGGTATTAATATTATATCAGAACTTAATTTACTGGATACATGTATTTTCCTTAAAAATTGTTAAGACTGTTCTATCATCAATAAATGCTAGTTAAACATTGTTTTAAAATCAAATTTTATGTCATTTACAGTAAAAATATAAACTTTTAACATATGACATTCTTTTCAAATTTTCAATAAATGTTATAACTTTAAACTACAGCATCTGTTTTCTAAAGTACTCTGACTAAAGGTTGGTTTGAATTCCAACTTAGAAGCATTCAGACTTAAGGTAGGGTAGAATTCAGACTAGAAAGCATACTGGGTAAAGGAAGGTCGAAAAACAGACTTGGACAGATCTAACAGAGGATCATACTTGAGCTCTGACTTGGGTACCTTATTGTTGTCTAAAAGACTGGTGTTTGGTTCTATTTCAGCCTCAGTTTCTGACATACTAGCATAATTATCTCGACACTCTAAATAAATGAAATAAAAATCTCTATCACTTAAACATGATACATGAACAAGGTGAGAGTTGGGCAATAAAGGCACAAAATGATTTATATCAACTCACTCAGCGAAGGTGGTACCAATGCTGGTGACCACATAAGATAAGTTCATGGTGATATATCTGTTGGAACATTTCTCTCATACACTATACGTGTGACTGCTTGGGGAAGTTCATTTTTCCACTGTTGGGGAAAGAAAGACTTAATTGGGCGTCCTACAGCAGCACTAATAGAATAAATGTGAGCCATTCCTTAATTTTCATCGGCTTACACTGCATCATCCACCAGATTTTCATATGGACTTGTAACGATTCAAATGTCATTGATGAAGTCATTGTTTTTCTTTTTTCTGTTGTAATGTGAATTAATATAAGTTCTTAAGGGGAACATAACCTTAGTAAGAGGTTGTAATCTTCTTATCCAAGATTTAAGCAACAAGCTCATAAGTTTTTGGCTAGTAATACGCAAACAGAAATGCATGTAATGGTTAACTATAAGTCATGTACTTGTTTTTGTATTTGGTTAGAATGAATACGCTCACATTCAAAATACAAACAAACAAATACACAAAAAATACACAGCAAATAATGAAAATTAAAGTGAAGGAAAAAACAGCAGGAAAAATAAACAGCACTCTATCCTGTTTATCTTTCCTCCCCCTGAGAGCTTTGTTAGTGATGGTTACCATTTGTTTACTAACGTCATCCCCTGCTTGTTCAGGATCTTCAAAAAAACTGAGCAAGATCTCCTCTGATGGATGGTCTGCAGTTATCCAAATCATTGTCAGATTTTCTCTGTAGGTTGAATTTGTGAAATTCCACACTGTTGAGAAACTTGATTTCATTATCTTATTATGTGGCTTATTTGAAAAAGTATATAATTCTTGCAGGCTCAGCATATCATCAAGGACATAATGAGCACAATACTTTTTATTCCACAATGTTACAAATAAGAATTGTTGTCTGTAGTTGTCCATACCAGGATGAATTTCTTTGGAAATTGGTAGAGTATCCACATCACCTTAACACGCATTAGTAAATTCAGCTTCCACATTTACTACTCAATGTGCCATCAGAAGTTGAGGAAAATCAAATCTTTTTATATTGTGTCCTATTTACACTACTGATCCTATACCTTCACACCAGTTTAGGTAACAAATTAAAGCTTCATTAAATCGTTTATATTATTCTCCAAGCTGATGTAATTTTTAGCTCACCTGTCACAAAGTGACAGGGTGAGCTTTTGTGATCGCTTTTCGTCCGGTGTTCGTCCGTCCGTCGTCAGTAAACTTTTACTTTATATGACATCTCCTCATAAACCGCTGAGCCAATTTCATCCAAACTTCACAGGAATGTTCCTTAAGTAGTCACCTTTAAAAATTGTTCAAAGAATTTAATACCATGCAGAACTCTGGTTGCCATGGCAACTAATAGAAAAAACTTAAAATGTCTTCTTTTAAAAAACCCAAAGAGGTAGAGCTTAGATATTTGGCATAAAACATCTTCTAGTGAGTGTCTATCAAGTTTGTTCAAATAAAAGCCCTGGGGTCAAAATTGGCCCCGCCCCGGGGGTCATTGATTTTCCCTATATGCATATAGTAAAAACTTTAAAAAATGTTCTTTTAAAGAACCCAAAGAGCTAAAGCTAAGATATTAAGCATGAAACATCTTTAAATGGGTGTCTACCAAGTTTATTCAAATAAAAGCCCTGGGGTCAAAATTGGCCCGGCCCCTGGGGGTCATTGATTTTCCCTATATGCATATAGTAAAAACTTATAAAATCTCCTTTTAAAGAACCCAAAGAGCTAAAGCTAAGATATTAAGCATGAACGATGTTCTAATGGGTGTCTACCAAACTTGTTTAAATAAGAGCTCTGGGTCAAAATTGGCCCTGCCCCGGGGTCATTTATTTTCCTTAAATGTGTATTTTAAAACCTTAAAAAAAAAATCTTCTTTTAAAAAACCCAAATAGCTAGAGTTTAGATACTAAGCATGAAACATCTTCTAGTGAGTGTCTACAAAGTTTGTTCAAATAAAAGCCCTGGGGTCAGAATTGGCCCCGCCCCGGGGGTCATTGATTTTATTTATGTGTATAGCAAAAACTTAAAAAATCTTATTTAAAAAAATCCAAATAGCTAGAGTTTAGATATTAAGCATGAAACATCTTCCAGTAAGTGTCTTCAAAGTTTGTTCAAATAAAAGCCTTAGGGTCAAATTGGCCCTTCCCCGGGGGACATTAATTTTCCTTATATGTATAAAACTTAAAAATCCTCTTTCAAAAAAAAACAAATAGCTAGAGTTTAGATATTAAACTTGAAACATCTTCTAGTGAATGTCTTCAAAGTTTGTTCAAATAAAAGCCCTTGGGTCAAACTGGACCCGCCCTAGGGGTTTCATTGCTTTTAACTATAATTGTATAAAACTTAAAAATCTTTTTTTTAAAAACTCAATGTGTTAGACATTAGATGTTTAGCATGAAACATCTTCAAATGGGTGTCTACCAGGTTTGTTTAAAAAAAAGCCATGAGGTTTAAACTGGCCCCACTCTGGGGGCCTATATACAGGTGAGTGACTTCAGGGCCATCATGGCCCTCTTGTTCACTGTCATGATTATCTCTTCTTCCCCTGAGAGCTTTGTTAGTGATGGTTGCCATTTGTTCCCCTGTTTGTTCAGGATCTCCAAATGCATCTGGCTCAGAAGGATGGTCTGCAGTCATGAAATTATCCAAATCATTGTCTGAAGTTTCACTTTTCCTGTCACTGTTAGATCCACTGACATTTTAATTTTCCCTCTTCAAGGGTGTGAGACATTTGACTGATTGTTTGTTGTTGTTTTGGCTTGTTTTGCTTGTTGTACTTTGATCGACAGTGTTGGTGTTTTTAGGTTTGAGATGATTCACATCTTTATAGTGGGAACTGCTTCTGCAAGCATTTTGATATTTTTCATGGCTTCCGAAAATCCAGATCTTCAGAAATTCATTGCGATAACGATTTTTTTATACTATAAATTCAAGTAATAAAAAAAAAAAACAATTTAACTACTTATTAAAAGAAGTTTAAAAGTGTATAAAATAATATACATTTTGTATTTGTATTTGACAGACCTTTTGAAGGTTTATCAGCAGACCGGGCCCTGCTCCATTTATGGAGCTGTTTTCAACAATATACCATGAATTCTTTGCTGAAGCCTGCAATTCAAGTCTCTTATTTCATGTGGTTGGTTATGAAGGCTGCTCTATGAACTGATCTGGTTGCAGGACTGCAGGTATGGATACATGGGTTCCATCTACGGCTCCAACCACCCCAGGCATAGCACTAAGCTGTCTAAACCCATCTGCTGCAGCCTTCATTTCCCTCCTTGTTGTTGGGAAACATATGTTCTCCTCCATTAGCTCAGATACTGAATGACAAACAAGGTGTAACATAACTAAATAAAACATTATTGCCATATACAGAAGGGAAACTTACATAATAACTTAAGTATAACTTAATTAAGTAAGACAATTTTTGTTCACTGCAGAAGTTCACAGTTCAATACATGAACTGTTATCTGAAGAGCCCCTCCCTCCCGGCAAATAAAAAAGAATAAAAAATCACTTGCCTATTGAATTCATCAGTTAAGGACTGCCAAAGGCAGTCCTTCTCTTTATTTGTCATCGCCGCCCCTTTAAACTTTCCAAACAGGTGACTGTAAGAGTCATTTATTTTCTTTATCACGAATAATTTCTCTCTTTCCGTCCAGTTCGGAAACCGCTCCATTTTTCAGAGATGCAGACGGTAAAACAACAAGCGCCTCCAATTGAAGAGTTTTCTGGTGGTCGCTTATGTTATTAACAATCGAGATCAATTGATCCTAATCTTTGGCTCACATGATCGCGATTATTTTTTGTTTAGTGAACACCAAATTTCGGCTCAGGATCATGTGAGTCAAAATATCAGATCAGCTGATCTGAGCTTGATCCTGATCTTTAAATGTTAGTGAACACGGGGTCAGATTCCAAGGTACTTTCCAATCAGGAAATGGACTGAATACAGTGAGAAGAATTTTTTATTTGTCATACCCTACTGAAAAAATGACTGGGAATCCCAGTGGGATGAGATTGGGATCCCACTTGGACCCACCGGGAATTTTGGTCGGGATCCCACCCTATCCCGGTGGGATCCCACCCTTATCCTAGTGGGATCCCGACCAAATTTTCTACTAGGTCCCACTGGGATCCCAATTGAAATCCCACCTTTATCCCAGTGGGATCCTGACCAAATTTCCCAGTGGGATCCTATTGAAATCTCACCACCATCCCAGTGGGATCCCGACCAAATTTCCCAGTGGGATGCCAATTGAAATCCCACCACTATCCCGGGAGGATCCAACCCTTATCCCGGTAGGATCGCAACCACATTTGGGGAACCTGGTGGGATCCCAATTGAAATCCTACCACTATCCTGGTGAGATTCCAACCAATTTAAAACCCTGTATGATCCTACCTCTCATCCAAGAGGGATCCAATAACTATCCAAGTGGGATCATCCACCTCATCTTATAAACTGGGATCCATCCTCACCCCAGTGGGATTTTTCCATTACCCCAGTGGGATATATGGATAAACAGAAGAATGGACAAAGGGAACTCGACATCATGCAATCACAAAAGCTTATCTTGTCACTTTGTGACAGGTGATGAGCTAAACATAGGCTTTTCTATCATTTGCAAACCTAAAAATTAGGGTGTGACACAAAAACAGCAAAAAAATCTTTTGATGAAATAAGTGAAAAGTACAATTAAACATACAAACAAGCAGCAGTGAGTCCAAACTCTATGTGCCCTACTGACCATGTGAGTTTAAACATTTTTCCTGAACTTTATCCTATGACAGGCTGTCCAGCATCTTCTGACACAAAATTAGGGCAAAACTAAAGAAATTTTTGGGCTAAAATTATGGTACATAAAAGAAATCTTAGGGATCTGGCCCAAAATTTTGTAAGAAAGATAGGGAAAAGCTAGATTAGCCATTGTTTAATTCTGTAATTTGTATTAATTATTTTTTATTGCTCGTATTTTATCATTCAATTTCGTTACAATTTCCTGGGTCCATAGTCTGTCCTTTTCTGCTTCTGAACCAATGTTGTATCTGTTGAACACATGACCTATAATGTTGAAACAAACAAAAAATGATTACTATTGAGAAACTTTTGTTTTCTGATCAGAAAAGAATAGCTGAGCAATGTTGCTTCAGAAAATTTCTGCATGTCCCAGGTTTTCTTTTTATCAACACCCTTGCTAACCTGCATAACAGACCAGACAGAAAAGGTGGTGCAATGATTTCATTACTAAAACAATATGTTAAAATGACAAAATATTTACAAGAGGAACATCGTTAACCTGTGTAATACTGAGAAATAAGACATTGGTAAGAATCTAAAAAAATATATCCTTTATGTTGCCATAGCAACCAGTTGTGATTGGAACAACATCATTTGAACAACTTGGATACAGAACCACCCAAGGATCATTTAAAATTTCTTTAAATTTTGCCAAGTGGTTTAAGAGAAAATTTGTTTTTAGACAAATGTTAGACGAACAGAAGAACACACAAAGGGGGACATCCTGCAATCACAAAAGCTTATCTTGTCATTTTGTGAAAGGTGATAAGCTAAACATAGACTTTTCTATCATTTGATCCATTGTAGTTTTTTTATCAAACTTGACCCATATTAAGAATTGTTTCAGATTTCAAGCAAAGCATAATTTTGACAAATTTTCATGCAAATTAAACCAAAAATGTGGTCTCCATGATGTAAACAAGGCATTATAAGGAGGATTTCCATAACTGAACTTGGCCTAGAATTCATCAAGAGAAACATTATGACAAAATTTCATGAAATTCCAACCCTAGATGAGGCTTCTACTGTGTTAGTAAGGCATACAAACAGTATTCAGATGACCCCGCTTTTGACCCCAGTCCAATGTATTTTTGATCAAATTTCTAAAATATCGGACCTAAAATGGCATTTCTAGAGGGAAAAACTTTCATTTTATAGCCCAAGTGACCCAGCTTCACTCTGGTGCATGACTTAAGGTTTATGATCTGATCAAGTGTTTTTAAAGATCTGAACAGAAATATGCCCTCTAGAGTGTTAACAAGCTAACTGTTAACAGAGGAAGGACATAAGGTGATGACAGTAGCTAAACCTGAGCTTAAAAAAGTAGCTATAAAAATACTTACAGTTTCAAGACTATTGTATTTGATGGTAACATTTTGTGGAATATATATCTCTATATAAATTTAATTCTAGGCAATATTAATTAGGAAAATGGTAAGTCTTGATATAAGAATGGTAGCATGTTGGACTACAAATCCAGAAGTTGCTGGTTCAAATCCAGGTTGGGGTATCAAAATTAGTTTCTCTTATTTAGTCTTTCATCTCTAGACTATATAAGAAAGCAGTCAGCAAATTGGAAAATGATGTTGTGTTTGTACTGGTGTGAGAAAACCAGGAAATCATTGATAGGTTTACTGTCATCTACAAAATGATCAATGATGTTAACGCTGGTGTTAAATCTTAATAAAATAAAATTACCAGAACTCATAATTAACTTACTTCTCAGAGCCTTTCTTTTATTGACATCCATTGGGACCTTTCCTTTAGACTGTCCATAAATGGACAGGCTAGAACACTCTTCCTTATTTATTATCAGCTCAAGAAGCCCAAGTGCCAATCTCCCTGCACTGCTGCATGCCTTTTCTATGGCACTAAGTGGTGCTGATGGGATTCTTATTCCATACTGGGGACTTCCCATGTACACAAGCTCTGTAAAAATAATAAACTCTATTACCTAGAGCAAGTTACCAAATTCCCCTTTACAGAAACTTGATACTATGGTTAATTATATAGAGGATAATTCTTGCAGTTTCCTGTAATATCAGATTATAATTTCACAGAGTGGGCACCAAAAATGATATTTTCATTAGTGGCCCAGACACCAGTGCAAATATCATATATTGGTGTTCACAAGAAATTACTGTAATATTACATTAATACAAACATTTTTTGTTTATTTATGTCTATCAGTCTACTTTTGTTGGGTTTATTTCAATAACATGTCCAAATTTGCAGGAAACTTTAAAAGGATGCATGCAAAGATGACATCATTTTAACAGTGTCATCATCATAAATGTTTCCGGCTTTCAGTACACTCTGTAAACTATTTGACATTAATCCAGGTATCATATTTGAAAGGCCAGTGAGTTTATTAGAATATTATTCATGTTATAAACCTCCGAAAACATGAAATAAATGCATTCCAAATAACCTGTATGCACATAGTAGTAAATCAATCTCAGGTTATTTTGCGATAAACCACTCGCGTGCAAACCAAAATGTCATTCTTCATGAAGTAGAGTACTCAAGGAGTGTACAAGAAAAGCATTGATGCAAAGCATCAAAGGGCGACGCCAAAAGAATTTGATCCAGGTTTGCACCTAAATACTTAACAAAAGATGTGTACTTTATAGCAGTACCATTTCATGTGACCTGGAGGCTTGGCCCAGTTTATGTTGAAACTTAAACCAAAAAGAATAGACTCTGTCTTGCCAAGATGCAAAGACAATTTATAGTCAATAAACCAATCTTAAGATTTACTTTACCAGATACAAGGATACCTGAGTCATCATCATATTATGACAGACACAAGTATCACACCTGGGAAGAAATATTTGACCAGATTAATAAAAAATCTGTGTTCATCTTAAAAGTTTCAAAAACCAAAAAAAAAATGTAAATAATGACTCCCTTTAAAAATATACTAATAATTTAAAGGATATTTTTAAAGGGGGTCATCATTTACATTTTTTTTTGGTTTGTGACACTTTTAAGATGAACACAGGTTTTTTTATCAATCTGGTAATATTTTTTCTTCCCAGGTCTGATACTTGTGCCTGTGCATATAATAAAAGCTTATTGCTTAGGGTTGCAGACATGTCATACATAAAAGAGGACCTAAAATGAACATCAGGGGGACACCATAGGTATTCAGAGAGAAGGAGTAATATTAGCCACATTCACCAGCTGCTATCAGAGATAAGACTAATGAACCATGCAAGAATGTCATTACATATGGCAGATGCTTGAAGAGATGAAGAAGAAGAAAAAAGAACTTCTTCATGTGCAGTTTAGTGTGATCAACTGTACCAAATGCTTTTTGTAGATTTAAAAGTATCACGCAATACTGCCTTTGTCCATTTCAAATTAAATGCAATCTATTAAATGAATCAAACATGTGTCAGTTGAAAAACCACTTCTAAACCCTGACTGAAACTGCCTGACCATGAATCAAACCCATGACTTTCAGAAGACCAACTGAGCTATCCGGCCGGCTACACATTTTCTCTTTAATAATGAAACAGTTCTAAACCTAAACCTTTTCCCCCACTATATTGATTCATGTACTTGGATTTCTGATGTTTACAGAGCATAGTGAATTAAACTCATGGTTATTTGCAGTAACAGGATGAGAAAAACTTTCAGCTTGACCAGACTCAAACCTGTGACCCATAGAATAATGTACCGCGGCTGTAGCGATTGAGCTATCTGGCCGCTTACACATTTTCTCCCCTAAATAGTGAACAGTTCTAAACCGTGACAGATATTTAGATTTTTAGATTAACAGATAATTAATTCTTAATTAATAAATAAGAAAAAAAACCCTTAAGTCTTAATTAAAATAACAATTTATATAATTATTATTGTATAATTATTTCTACTAAAAAGGGCTAAGACAGTTATTGGTTGTGCCATTATTTGTAACAGGTCAATTTGAAAGAGAATATAACTGTGCTAATACATGTACAATATCTATGATAAGAAATTTTATGAAGGCTGATTTGTATTTTACATCAAGGGCAGCGGGCGAAAACATGAAAATGCAACAAACGAACCACTTTGTGGTAGATTGTATTTTCATGTTTTCATCTGGCGCCCGGTTACTTTTTGTACTTTGTTGGTTTTCATGTGGCACAAATCACCCACTAGTGTACAAATTTATTCAAGGACAAGTATCAATCTACTCTATGAAATAAAGTCTGTTGTCGGGTTGACTCAGGAGACCTGGAGATTGAGACCGGTGTCCCTCCATTACAAATAGATAAGGCAGGAGCTGTCCTTTTCAAACTATGCACATGTTAGAAAAAAATTAGAATAACTATTCAGAACATGATTTTTGAGGCTTTATCAATTATATTGCTTGATCCAAGTTTCAGGACATTTTCAATCAATACATGTATTATCATTTATAACTTTAAATGAAAGTCTCATCTCTTTAATAATAATGACATAACTGCAACTCTTTAAATTCAGAAATATTATAAGTCTCATCATACCAATATACTAAGATATAAATGTATGCACATAACATTAATAATTCCAAGTTTCTATTAAATAAATATGAAATATTGGGTATATGATATAAAGCCAGTAAAAGTATATATATATATATCAATATTCACTCATCAGGGCCTCTATGCTTTTGATGACCTTACAACTGGTAAATTTTATAAAACAAAAATTGTAAGTAATACCTAAGATAGACAGAAAAGAACAAATAATTTAGTAAACATGAGTTACTTCCCCTTGAAATAAAGAAAACATGAAACCCAAAAGAACACCCTAAACATCAAAATTAAGAAATGTTACAGGCTCATTTTAATTATGCCATGCAAATTAATGGTAAAGTATTCATAAAAAAGTAGATGGCCATGTGACAGCAGTAATTGCAGAAAATCGGATAGCTGTCAACATCCGGATACTGGTACACTTTGAAAAAACAACCATTCTGTTCAACAGATAAACGTAATATGTATAAAATCAATAGGATAATCGTTTACAACAGTCCATTACCTATCCTAATACTCATTTATGGAACTCATTTGCAGGTGAACTTTCTTCTTGTAGGAAAGTTTTGAAAATATATAAATGAATGAGCATCAATGTAGACCACAACGATATTCGAAATCCGGGTTTTAGTATTGTCAATAAAATCAAAGGGACAAGCTGTTAATCTAAGCCTGCAATGTCATGAAAATAATATCACAATGCACATGCTTTTTATATGAAGTTATTTAATACAATTGTATCATAGTTTGGAGACCTTTCTGTTGAAAATGTGTCGGGGGTTAAATCGTATACATATACATGCACAGTGCGTTAAATGGAGTGCGGGTATTAGTTACCCGCACTCCAGAGCATGCCCATTGATTGGTTCATTTTTGCTGGGGTTTACATATTGTGACGGCAGTGAAAGTGAAATCGACAGAAATGTCATATTTAGATGCTCGTTCATTGGTTCATTTTTGCCGGGGTTTCATATTGTAACAACAGGGAACGTGTTTTTATGTTTGACTATGATACAAAAGAGAAAGAACACCAAAACACTCGGTAATCTGATTAATACTCGGGGGGCTACGCCCCCTCGTACAAATCAGATAACCTCGTGTTTCGGTGCTCTTTCTATTACATATAACAACATATTTGTTTACTTGATTTTTACGGATCAAAATAAATATAATTAGCACAACATGAAATTAACTGCTAATAATAACAGCTCCTTCCATAGGCCAAAATAAAAAGCATTCCATAAAAGACGACGCCGCTCACCGGCGTCGCCAATAAAGTAGTTAGCTGTTTTATAACATTGATGTTTAAAAATATGTGTTAGAATTGAAATAAGTTCCAAAGAGTGATTTATCTATGAATAACTTTAGGCTTTTGTTCTTATGCAAAGCAATATATCAGCCTTCCTGATAAATTCATAGGCATATTTGGAAACTTATTTTTTTCATAATTATCTATATTGAACAAAAGCTGTGAAGATTTGACAATTGCCTCTGCCATTCCGTACCCCCCCCCCCCCCCCCCCCCCCCCCCCCCCCCCCCCCCCAATTTTTTTTGCTATTCAGTGATTTTTTACTCTGTATTTATCAGCCGAATAAAGGCTGTTTCCCCAATGCCCAAATAGGTATATTGTACCCTAAAAATGCTCATATTTCCCCCTAAAATTCACTGTGTACATTCTTCACCAGAGCAGTAGACTTACATCAGCTAGAAGACAAAAAGCTGTCCTTATAGACAGTCTCTGCTTTTTACGATGCATGTTAAATTTAATTGAAATTGAAAATTTTATAAATTGTATGGGTAAATTTCATTCCCAGTTGTTGGAAATTGAATTTTCCCTTTTCTGATTTTACGCCCTATAATTATTTCCCCTTCAAAAAGTCAAAGGTTGTTTTGAAAATTGAAAAAAAAAAATACTGCTATTGTCTTAAAGTATGTATTCTGGTTTGACTGTATAGTTGTACATAATGATCTGGATCCATGCTTGTCTCATATACTATAACTTTGATGTTCTTATTACATAAACCATTCTCGAAAACATGATACTTCTAAAATACAGTCAACATATCTTTTTCAGTAGTGGGGGGGAAATATTCTTACCATCAACACCAACAGCGCCAATTTCCTCTGATGCTAAAGGCACATCCTTCTCAATTTCTAAAAAATAGTTATGAAGGCTGCTCTATGAACTGATCTGGTTGCAGGACTGCAGGTATGGATACATGGGTTCCATTATTGGCTCCAACAACACCAGGCATAGCACTAAGCTGTCTAAACCCATCTGCTACAGCCTTCATTTCCCTCCTTGTTGTTGGGAAACATATGTTCTCCTCCATCAGCTCAGATACTGAAAGACAAACAAGGTGTAACATAACTGAATAAAACATAATTGCCATATACAGAAGGGAAACTTATATAATAAC